TGGCCAGCCGCCATCTCCATCTTCCTCAATGTGTTCCTGATGTCGACATTGAAGCTGGTTTCTTTCAAGAGGTTTGCGGTTTGGGGTGGGTTGATTACTCTGTTCTATCTCATGTATGGTGTGCATTCTACTTATAGGGCAGAGGAGATGGGTTTAGGGAGTGATGGTGGCGATGGTGGTGGTGAGATTCCGCAGCAGAATTCTAACTCGTCGCCGGTTCAGCAGAATGTGCATAAGTTAGAGATTCAGATGCAATGATGAACAATTGTGAAAAAAGGGGAGTAGTATAAAGAGGAAGGAGAAAAAAAAGTAAAGGTTGAGGGTTTTGGTCCATTTTTTGCCCGCTTCTCAATTCTCGTATCCCCATTTGTTAATTGTTATGGTAAATATATGAGACATTTGAAGATATGAGCCACAAAGTAATTCATTCATGGGAGAGTTGAAAGCACATGGTGTCTATATATACAAATGTGACCAAATTTAAGCAAATAATGGACTATTATGGGGGCCTAAGAGAGACCTATTACAAAGCTTAACAATACAATTTCACGGAGTTTATATCTTCGACAATCGTGAAGGTCAAATAGATAACTTCCTGTTCATATTTAATAATGTCATAAATCAATCGGTCCTAATTACTCGAGTTATTCATTGAAAAGAAAGCACAACTTTCATATCATGTACGCACAATTGCAAATGTCAAACGGATAATTCCTATTCATATTTAATAATGTCAAAAAGTAACCGGTCTCAATAATTCGAGTTGTTGAGAGTAGCTCTTAAAACACTTCCGTACGTGTCCTCTCAAATGAAACTCAACTCATGAGTTTGAAGTTTGCACAAACCCTCATACCATGTGTTTATAAGACAACAATAGTTAATATTAAGGGTATTGAGGCCTTGAACACATGATTTCAAGAACAAATCAGCTTTGATACTAATATCATAAACCAAGTGGTCTCAACAACTAAGAGTTGTTAACATTGATTACTTGATCATTCCCTTACAAATAATAACTCTTACAACCTGCAAAACTATTATGGGTAGGTTATAGAAATAATATTCTGGATAGGAATTAGGATGATGATGGGTGAAAGGTGATAGCGTGAGATCATTTGGGGCACAAGAAAGCAATGATGAGCCCAATATGCAGAAGCAATTATTGGGAACATTAAGAGATCATCAAACAAAGGAAAATTAATAGAAAAGAATGGAAAGGAAAGGAAAGGAAAGGCACTCTGGCCAAGCCATAACGAACCATATAGAAAAACAAATGAAATTCCATAGAAAGTAAATCTTTGGCTAAGAAAGATCCGCTCTGATGGGTCGTTTATAAACGACTTTTCTAAGGTGTTCTATGATGTTGTTGTTATCAAAAGCAATAATTAGTTCTGTGATTGGAGAGCTGAAAACTTGCTTTGTATATCTTCATTAGAACCAGAATTGAAGGTGTTATTGAAAAGGATGACACTAGCTCAAGAACTCAACACTTAGAGTGCGAAAGGATTTCCTCATGCTAGTTAAGGCCCTTTATGACTCTCTCTCTCTCCTAGTGGCCATGGAGAGTTTCATCATGGATTGGTATCATAATTGATATTCTTCGATGTGTCGCAATCATCAGGTGAAATTTTTTAGAGATAAGTTTAATGTAAGAGCATATTGGGTTGCCCAATTACTTGCTCGTAAATCGTAATGAAGTTCCGAACTTCTTGTAGCACCAAGATCATTTTAACGTTAGTCGGAATCCATTATTTGCTCTTGCTTGTCAAAAGAAAACATGTTAAGTAATCTTACATTCATGGAAAATATTTTAGCAAAATCTATCGTAAGAATTATTATGAGGTACTATTGAAATGAAAATGTACAAAGAAACATCGTAATTCCAAATTCATTAAAAAAATCTTTTGATAAAATCACTCGTTGACATTATCATGAGAAGTATAAGTGGAGTAAAAATGTAGAGAGAAACACCACATGATCACCAATCCTAATCCTGATGGGACCCGGTCTCAATCAAACCAAACATTCAATTTGCCACTTCCCTAATTGCACTTATTTAATTAGCCAAAATTTTATCACTTCAATGGTTGAATATGATTTCATTTTATGAATTTAAGATTACTTGTAAGTATATTCGCAAGTGGGAAAATGAAAGGTCAATCCACTTGGGAGTATATTTGCAAGTGGGAAAATGTGAAAGTCCTATATATATTTTAGTTTGTTTCGTGAATTTGAAAAATAAGATTTTGAAAACTTATGGACATATTATGGTTTTTATTTTATTATGGCATTGAAAAATGTCATTGTTTGTTTCATAGATTTTATAATATGTTTTGTTAATTGAATTTGCATGTATGAAGTGAAATTGACATTTATTGTACTCGATTTGTATGAGAAGAGAAATGAAATAGGAATTGTAGGTTGATCACAAATGATGCACTTCAAAATTCATGATCAATTTGGACTCTCAAAATACTCGTAGGTCGCACTAATTTGTTATCCCTAAACACATGAAGGAAACAATAGAATTTGGACAAAGTTCGTAATAAATCAAATTCATCGAGCGAACAATCTCTTTTTATTTATTTAGAAACAACCCTTATTTGTGATGATTCATCGTGGACATATTAACTTATTATGGATAATCACTTGTGATATTCGAATTTTTCTAAACAAAATGAAAATTTCATTCTTGGTACTCTCGTATAACGCTCTGCGGTTCTCACAATTTTTTCCCCCCCTTCAGATGACACACATATACCAAAAAAAGAATTTGTATTTTGTTGATATTTGGTTGTCCTTTTTCCTCTTCCACAAGGATGGGAATTGGGTAGGGATAATTGGAAGAGATAAGACCGAAAGGAGTAATGAGGGAATGAGGGATGATTCGTTCTTCAATCTTCTTTCCCAACTGACACAACACATGACACCACCACCAAACATAACACATCATCTAGTGGGTCGCCATATCTCTGGTAGAAACTTATTGATCAGTTTCAGTTGGAGAGATATTTCAGGTCCCTCTTTGGGATTAGTTCATCTATGGTGTTCACGGCCTATATGTGATGTGAGAACGCATAATTATCTGGATAAAATATCGGGTTAATTGCATGATTGGTCACTGAAATTATAAAAAACGTTCAAGTTTGGTTACTCGAAATATTTAAATTCATTGGTGGTACTTCAGTTTACTGAAACCGTTCACGTTTGGTCACTCTCCGTCCAACTCCGTTAACTTTTGCTTACGTGGCAGTCAACTCTAAAAGTTGACCGTTAAATGTGTGATGTGGCAATTAAAAATAATAAAAATTTATAAAATCACTTTTTTATTTTCCACCTCAATTATAACTATTAAAAAGAAGAAAAAAGTCATTTCGCCTTCTCCATCACTGCCTCACCACCACCACCTTCCCCGGCAGCTACCTCAAAGCCAACCTCCTCACATTCGCTGATACCCAGCAATCCAAAAATTCAAGTCCACAATAACCTCAGACCCACTCAACATCAAAGCCTCATGCCCGCTCGACAATGCCTCGGCCACCGCCGCATCAATCGACTTCAACGGCTTCGTCCTCTCCACCCTTTCTTCCACGCAGGGTCAGAGGCCACCAAAGGGAAGATGAATCCGACTTCCGACTTTCTCTCCCCTCGCGATTGAGACGGTCACGACACACATACAGCCTCGATTGTCGATTTGCCGCCGTCCATTACGTTTACCCTTAATTATCTCGTGGGCAAATGAGTGAGCGGCGCTGAGATTTCTCGGGCGAAGGAATGAGCGGCGACCTCTAGGGATTTGAAAGCGTTGGTGGCGATCTCGGGAGCGAAGGAGTGAGCGACGGAGTGATCTCACGAGCAAAGGAGTGAGTGGCGATGGGTAGAGATTTGGAAGAGTGGCTGCGATCTTGCCGGAGAAAGAGTGCACGGCGACTGCGAGCTGAGAGGAGAGAGAGAGAGAGAGCTGTATCGGAGGGACTTGTTCAGTCTTCACCGACTAGGGAACGCGGTGACGAGAAGAGAGATCGAGAGTCGCCGGTGGGGGAAAATGTACGGATGGACGACTAAGGCTTGTGAGATTATAAAAAATTAAATATTTATCTTTTAATAGTTGGAAATTAGGTGGAAAACTTAAGAAATTAAATTTTATTTATTTTATTATTTTTTAATTGTCACTTCACACATTTAACGATCAACTTTTAGAGTTGACTGCCACGTAAGCAAAACTTAACGGAGTTGGACGGAGAGTGACCAAACGTGAATGGTTTCAGTAAACTGAGGTACCACCAATGGATTTAAATATTTCGAGTGACCAAACTTGAACGTTTTTTATAATCTCAGTGACCAATCATGCAAATAACCCATAAATATCTATTAAATTTTGGAAGGATAAATTTAAACTCCACCTTAACGATAGAAAAAAGAATTTGATCAAATTCTATTGAATCTGACTAATAGTGAACATTTATCAAAGAAAAGTGACTCTGGTTATCAATTCATGAATGCATGGATACCAACGAATATATGAAGATAATCGAGCGAATAACATCTTTCAAACACCTACAATATTTTATCCTATTCCATAATTTTGACGTGATTATTTCCCATACCCACTTCTAGGGATGGACAATGGGGTCAACCGCTAGACCCACCCGAATCCACCCGATTATAATCCACCCATTACATGTTTGGGGGATGTGGTGTGCATGTGTAAGTCACCATTTTTGTCACTCACTAAATTTGGGTGGATGGCGGGTGGGTAGTGGCCAGTGGGTGGGTCATTAACCGCAAAATCACATGATATATTAAGTCATTGATGCACATTCTATAACAAAACACATTTTTTTTCTTATCTCAAAACTTTAATCGTGATTAATTCAATTAAACTACAATGATCGTTTATAGATTTTACTTGATTCTAACATAAAATCAATAATTTTAAAATATGATAGCAATCAATAAAATATTTTGTGTTCATAAATGAGATAATTGGTGTTAGATTATGCAATAAACTACATTTAATATCTATCATTTTTATAGATTTGAAGCATTGATATTCAATTAGTTTTTATGCCAACTTTTATGACTCATTGTCTAATTAATTAAAAATAATTTGATCTACCAAAAAGTCAAATCCACCCATCATTCGTTGTCACCCATCCAACCCACCCACACAGTACAATACAAATGGGTAAGTATGGGTCAATTTTTCGTCACCCACCGTAACAATAGGTGGGTGAATTTTGCCCAAAAGTTCACCCAACCCACCCATTGCCCTTCCTAGGCCTCTTCACAACCAACATGGAAAATTTTCTTCCTGGCTAATAGGATCAGGGTTGAGGGAGAGTTGAATACCTACAGTCTAGTTTTGATGAAAGCCAGGTTGGAAGTTTTGAAAATTCCGGTTAAGCTTATTTGCCTGGTAAAGAGAGTTCACTGTTGAGCTTAAAATACGGCAGCAACTATGCTCAGTAACAAACTTTTACTATGTTTGTAGTCTTTTCTTCAAATATACTCAAATTTTAACCATCCATTTTCTTGCATATAATCTATTTACATTCATGAAACTCAATTCAAACATTCCAAAAATCAAAAGGGGTGAACCCAGGACAGGAGGAAACCAATACTAGACTAATTCCTTACAATGCAGTAAAAAATCAAAATGGTCGCAGAAGGCAATAAAGACTCTCCAAATGACTGCATTATCCCCAAAAAAAAAAAAAAATGAAAGATGAGATTGAAACCAAAACATGAATAGAGATGCTATTTAATTGCATGCCCTTGTGTTCTTATCTTCTACACAAAAGAAAGATCGATGATTAATACATCAACTCACCATGACCGTACATAGTTCAGTAATTCAAATGAACTCAGAACAAAAGGCCTTCTTTTTCTTCAATGTTGCAACTAGATGAAAAAGGGTAAAAAGAAAACCAATAGGAGATCTAAACCAAGCTGATGGAATCTCAATCTCTCCCCTAACGTACAACTATACTTACTAGACCAGAGATTAAAACATCATCATCACCAGCCATCACAATCCTCTTCTCATCCTACCATTCCTAAACCCAAAAGGAATCTTCGTAGTATATATACCATATACAAAGCAAAGCAAGATCGATGGTTTCAATCCAAACAAGAAAAAAGTAAGGAAAGTTCTTGTTTTGACTAGTCACCTGAAAACCCACCCACCATCATCATCATTTGCTTACTTGCTTCAGTCAATGGCTTCAAAATCCGTAGCTGCAACCTCCGAATCGCCACCATTCCTGTTCGAATTCGGCGACATCATCACATCCACCTTCCTCTTCTTATTCTTCGTGTTAACGTCGCTGCTCTTCTTCTTCTTCTTCTTCTTCTCGTAGGCCTTGGCGAACGCCTCCACGATGTCCTGCTGCATCTCGAGCAGCATCTGGTTATGCTTCAACTCCATCCCCATCCTCATCTTCTCGATCTCCATCGCCATATCCATCTTCATCTCTTCCACCATCACAAACCCTTCCCTCAGCATCTTGATCGCAGAGACAACTTCTGCCACGGGATCTTTTCTGCCAGCTCCATCATCAGCAAGACCACCACCACTACCATTCATCTTCCCATTGGGAAACAACCCTCCATTCGAGTTCCGGTCGGGCTGTGAAGAAGAATGGTACGGGTGGCTCTTCACTCTAACCCTAGAAGAAGAGACAGAGCCTGCACCGCCCCATTCCTCGGCAATCTTCTTCCCGTTCATCAAATCATCCCTCTCCAACTTCCCACTAGGTTTCCTACCATACCCACCACTCCCATAATCAGTGTCAAACCCAAAATTACTGCTATTCCCTCCGAGCTTCCTGTCAAATCTACCGTATTCTTTAGGCATAAACGCTACAGAGACCGAGTTCTGATCCTTGTTCATCATGAATCCAGCTCGAGAAGAGCCACCCCGGTTGTCGAAATCGATGGCCTCGCCATAACCTCCGCCGTTCACCTTGCTGAATTTCCTAGCCCTATATGCCAAATCCGGATCGAATTCCAAATCCGGATCTAGCTGATGCCTCTCCGATGGCATCTTGACGCGGAACCCTTCCCCTACGGGATCCCCGCCGCCGCTCGATTTCTCGACGTCCTGTTCCTGTTTAGTCCCGATCGATCCGATCTCCATGGCATCCAACAGAGGGAACAGGTCCCAGGAAGAGAAGAACCGACCTGGAAAATTGGCGCACCGCTGCTTCTCGGCGCGGTACCGCTTCCGGATCTTCTCGATCTTGTGCCGGCACTGGACTGCGGATTTGGGAGGGTCGGAGGGCGCCGGGGAATCGGCGAGCGCGGCGGCGACGGCGTCCCAGTCGGCAGCGCGGAGGTTGCCGCGGTTGACGGCGAACCACTTGTCGCGGTAGGCCTTGATGAGCTCGACGGTCTCCTCCCTCGTCCAGCACGGCGGGGGGACTTTTCTGGCGGCGGAGGAGGAGTCTGCCGCTGCAGCGGCGGCCGCGGCGGCGGAGGAGGAAGACATCGTTTTTTGGAGATTTGTGGGTGGGAGAGGGCCGATTGTAAAGAGGTAGAGGGAGAGAGAAAGGAGAGAGGCGGTGGGGTTATGGTGGTGGCCGTGGTGGTGGTAGGTATAAAGGAGGTGGGGAGGCGCAGGTTAGCAGATTTCGTGCGGTGGCCGCGGTGGTCATTATTTTTTATTTATTTTATTTTTAGTTCTTTGTGGGGAAAATTAATGCGGTGGGTCGGTCAAGCGGAGAGTGGTGCGCAGGATAAGGGCGGGGGCACGATTGGAATGTGTGGAGGGCGGAGGAAAGGAGGGGAGGGGAAGGCGGCGGGCGGCCAAACGAACCGGCCAAATTCAAGAGAGAGAGAAAGTAAAAGTGAATTAAATACATACATCTAATTATGAAGAAGAGAGCGCGCATTGTAGATCATCATCGTAATGGAGAAAGACAGAGCAGCCTATAGCAGCTTTGTGGGAGTTTCAATGGGCTGGGCTGGGCTGGACTGGGCCTTCTTATAGCTTATTATCCTCTTTCTTTTGGGCCGAGTAATTTTTTAAATCTTTTGTGTTGGGTTCTTTTGAGGGAGATGGAGTGGTTCGGTCAAATCGAATCGAATGGATGTCCACCCCTACTCTCATATCTCACCCTCAGAGAATCCAACACAGAGGTGAAATTATTTAATGTGAAAGTAGGGATAACAATTGAACACAAACTTACGGGTACGCAATCTGATTCAATCTAATGAGTGCTGATAAAATTCAATGTTGAAGTGTTTTGGGTCGGGTGCGAATTTTACCCGCTTTGAAATTGTCATATCAGATTGGGTTTGACTTTTATCAAAACCCAACGTGATGTCCATCCGTGACCCGACACCCACTCATAGAGCAGCACGATATTATTTTGTCTCTAACTAGAACAGTATGAACAATTTATGGATTCTTTTCATTTTAAGGCAATATAAACCTGATAATATGGATAATTTATGAATGTTAGCAGACTAGTAGTTTTTATGGAGATATATTCATAGAAAAAATTTAGATAATATAGTGACGTGGATTTAAAAATAATAATAATGTAGATTATGTTTATAAACCCACCGAATTTTTGTAATAGTTACACCCATTGAGTTTAGATAAGAGAAACCAGATCCAACTTTGATCATATCCCAGAGCGGTATCCGTTAGTTTATTAATTGCAATGTCATGACTTGTCCGTTAGTGCTTTGACTAGGGATGGCAATAAAACCCATGGCCGCGGGTATCCGACCGCCCCGACCCAGTCAACGTGGGGAATCCCTGCTTTGACCGGGTATGGGGCGGGTATGGGTAAAACCCGCAAAAAGTTTGATGGGTATGGGGCGGGTATGGTTTTGACCTCCCCCGCCCCATACCCATACCCGCCCCATCAAGAGAATTTCTTCACATATAAAAAAATATGTGGATTAAATTGTAATCTATCAATGGTGATGAGGATAACTCAAGGAAATAAATAGTAGAAATGCAATTGAGTGACCATTTTAATCAAAATCTAATTCATTTCCCTCAATTCTTGTTTCACTTTTTCACTTTTCCCCTTGTCTACAAGATTATATTAGTTAATTATTACTTAGTAGATGTATAAGAGTTAGAAGATAATTATTTGAAAAATATTATACTCTATATTATGTAAATATGGATGTTTTAGGATCCTATACTTTGAACCGTGTTAAGAAAATTATCGTGTTTTGCTGATTTCATGATATAATAGGTTTGTTTAGAGTAAAAATTAAAACTTTTCTTGTAAATTTTAGGTATAATAATGTTGGATGTATGGGTACGGGTATTACCCATGGGTACTCGAAACCCACGGGTATGAGGATGGGTTTGCAAAACATTCACCGCATGGGTATGGGGCGGGTATGGGTTTGAGTATTTGAAGATGGGGATGGGGATGGTTTAGACAAACCCGCCCCATTGCCATCCCTAGCTTTGACGTCTCATTTAGGAAAACAGTCAGGAATCCAACGTTAGAAAATAACGATACTTCAATCAGAGCTTGATTGAAAGAAAAAACAGATAAATCAAAGTACAAAAGCAAAGCTACACTTTTCTTAAACAATGTGTTCACAAGTTGGATTTCCGATATAGTTCCACAAACACTTTTAGATAACTGCAAAACTGATAAGGAGCGAAAAAGGGATACTTTGACATATATATAAGATGCATGGGAGCTTCAACAAGCTGATCCTGGAAACCTGATATTAGCTGGAATCTAACGAGGCATCACCACCATCCTTATATGGTCACACCATTGCTTCCGCCTACGATGCTTTTCCCAGATCTCAATCTCTTCTTCCTCAACCTCTCGGCTATGGCAAACGCCAGCTCTAGCGACTGCGAAGCATTGAGCCTTGGGTCACAGTGAGTATGATAACGCGAGTTCAGGTCGTCGAATGTGATAGTCTTCGACCCTCCAACGCACTCTGTCACGTTCTGCCCTGTCATCTCCAGGTGGACTCCCCCTGGGTAGCTGCCTTCCTGGTCATGTACGTCGAAGAACGCCCTCAACTCGCCCTAAAAAACAAGAGCAGATCATATCAGGAATTGGCTAATGGCTATTAACATACTAAAGGTAAATTATTCGAAGTTCAGTGACAAGTTTGTCAAAAATCGAAGTACAGATTAAGGAAAGCTTGGTATAGATGGCGAAGGGATTCTCAGAGTTATCCATTACCCTGATAGAATCAAAAGCTCGAGTCTTCAGGCCACAGGGTGCCTTAATCGTGTTGCCGTGCATGGGATCACTGACCCAAGTGACGATTAAGCCAGCATTACGAACAGCCCTGATTAGATGGGGCAGTTTAATTCGCATGTTGTCAGCTCCCATTCTGGTGATAATCGTCAGCCTTCCAGGTTTGTTGTGAGGATTGAGAATTTCACACAGTTTCACAAGCTCCGATGGATCCATCTTATCACTAACCTGCGCAGAAAATAAACACAGAAATGCAAGCCCAATTATTCCAGATATTTCTCTGGTAAGCTCAACAACATCATTGAGCTTGCTTACCAAAACTTCGCCAATAGCTAGCTGTTATCATTTTCATTTCCCCTTAGCAAAAACATAAATACTATAGTGAACAACTGAGACTAAATCAGCATGATCCACTCAAAGTTGACACACATCCTACAACGTGAGCTCGCTAAGGCACCAATTCACATTATATGACCTACCCAAATGCAAGATTATGATTTTAAGTGGATGGCATGTGTGATTTATACAAATCAGTACAGTCTGTTATGTTGCCACAGAGAAGGACTCTCTTCTTAAAGGTTGGAAACTCAAACAGAATAATGATGCAAGAATATCACTCCTTGTAGCTTAACTTTATGATCATTATTCATTAATGGTTCCAGAGACGATGGACACAGCTACCGTACCTTAATGCCAAGAGGATTTGAGACACCCCGGAGAAACTCGACATGAGCTCCACCCAACTGCCTAGTCCTCTCCCCTACCCAGAGCATATGAGCAGAGCAGTCATAGAAGAGCCCCGTCGTCGAGTCTTCCCTTGTCATGGCCTGCTCGTAAGGCAGATGAAGGCACTCGTGCGATGTCCAGAACTCGGTCGTGTTCATGATGGGGTGATCAATGGTAAGACCAGCTGCAGTCATGAACCCAATCGCATCATCCACCCTACTCGCTAGTTCCATGTACCTGCCATACCATAAACAGCAGAAGAAAAAACATTAATTACTATCCATATGTAACAAAATCTGGAACCTTCCAAATCGAAATTGAGGAAAGGAATAAAAAGGCATAAGCGAAGCTATCATACCTGTCTCCTTGCTCACTGTGCTGCACAAAGTCGAGATTCCACTGAGAAACCCTCTGCATCGCAGCATATCCACCGGTGGCAAAAGCTCTGAGCAGATTCAAAGTGCCAACGGACTGAAGGTAAGCCCTGATAAGCCTCTGTGGATCAGGAACTCTGGATTTCTCATCAAAGGCATCGCCATTGATGTTATCTCCTCTGTAACTCGGCAGCTTCACCCCATCCTTGGTCTCAAATGAATCCGACCTAGGTTTCGCAAACTGCCCAGCCATTCTCCCAACCTAACACGGAAAAGGAAATAAAATTTGAAAATTGAATCGAAATTGGAACTGAATCAAAGAAATTAGGGATTTCGGACTTTCAGTTTTAACCTTGATGATGGGCATTTGAGCACCGAAAGTGAGAACGATGCCCATCTGGAGAATAACACGGAAGGTATCCCGAATCATGTTGGCATTATAATCCTGGAAGCTCTCCGCACAATCCCCGCCTTGCAAGAGGAAAGCCTTCCCGACGGCGGCGCTGGCGAGCGCATCCTCGAGCTTCCGGGCCTCGCCGGCGAACACGATTGGCGGGAACGCGCTGAGGGTTTGGAGGACCGATTCGAGCTCCTCGTTGTTCGGGTACTCCGGGATCTGGACGGCCGGCTTGGATCTCCAGCTCTCCACGGACCATCCGGGCGCGACGGCGGTGGGATTGGAGGAGGTGGAGACCGAGACGACGATGGAGCTCTGGCGGGAACGGCGGCGGGAAATGGCCGGGGCGAGGCGGGTGGAGAATAGACTAGTGATGAGAGAGGCTGATGAAGTGGTGGCCGGAGTCGGGGTGGCGGCCACGGCCGGGTTGGTCGCGGTGGATAGAGCCATGGCGATGGCGATGGCGGCGGCGGATGTGAGATATGGGGAAGAAAGAAGAAAGAATAGGTGGAATGGTGGGGAAAAGAGACAGCGGAGCACAGTGTGAGATCGGTATCTTGCCACACGGATTTTTTTTAGTAATATAAAGGTTTGAATTTGAATACGTCATTTAATTTGATTTTTTAATTTATTAATTAACTATAGATTTTCTCTGTTTGCGGCTGCCACCACAACTCGACAGATATTTTCGCTAGGCCTGTAGTTTTTCAGAAAAGACGACTGTTCCACCAACCGCATGCGACCTCCCGTTCAATTTGATCGACGAGGGTTTTTTGTGTTGGACTCGTTGTAATCGTTTCGTTATTATTGTTTGGTATATTTTGCCCCAGTTGATGATGGAAAAGGATTGGTGTGTGCAAGTTGTTAATGACGGAAAGGGAGAGAGGTTTGGGGTGAGGCTAGGGGTGGAAGTTTGGTTTGTGGGTTGCGAGTAACCCGCAAACCGCACCAAATCGCAGACTTTGTGGATACCCATACCTATAATTTGTGGATAGTAGGTTGGGTGTGGGTAGCAAAATATTGATTTTTGTGGTTAGTGGTTAACCACTATTCACAGTGGTTTACCCACATTAACCACATTAATTATATTTATTTCTTCAAATACTTTGTAACCCATATTAACCACATTAGTCTTATTAGTTTGTGAAACTTGGAAGACTAAGAATTAAAGTAGCTACCAAAATCAAATACGCACTTATTCTATTAAACAAAACCAAGTCAATGCGCAATGTTCATGTGATATATTTTTATCAAATAAACATTGTCTGTGTGGTATATGTTTATTGTATAATAAAACCTAGTCCATAGATATAGTAAGATAAATTAGTCGATTTGTTAAAAGAGAAGAATAATCGATAAAGGTTAGTCTGATACCCAAAATAATCTTCATTTCTCCACGAATTCACGAACAACATAACATGCAACCAACTACCAACAATAGAAGACTATAATCGAGAATGGAGAATAAGCAAATCATTAAAAGCGGGCGCCTCCACTTATCGAGTCACTTTTGTGTTTTTCTGTTATTGCCATCGGAGGAGCCGTGACATGCAACGATGTTTGTCTGGTAACAGGTCACTCTACCTCTGCGTTATCTTCAAATCTCTTTCCAAATCCATCTCTTCTAAATTTACTCTAACAAACCTATTGTATTCGAGATTTATAATTTATTTAACACTTTATTAACTTTCTATTATGTATGTTTTTGTTTTTGTGTGAGAAGAAATATATCATCACTATATAATTACCATATTATTATATTTAATGTGAAATTTTTGTGGGTATCCACAACCAACCCGCACCAATCCGCAGTGGGTTGTGGTTATCCACTACCCACTGCGGGGCGGGTTGTGGATAACATAATTCTACATTTGTGAGTGTGGTTACCCGCAAAATGTGGGGCGGATAACCACACCCACCCCAATTTCCACCCCTAGATGAGACTGAGTTGTGATTATTTTTGAAGCGAGAGTTCCTGTCTTCTTTGTCGTTGGTGAAATTTGGAAAAAGAAAAGAGAGATTTTGAAAGGAGAGGAAAGAGACAGTTACCAATTTTGGACTAAAATAATGAGTAATTTGAAAATGAATTATGAAAATGGGTATTTGGAAAATTATTTGATGGTGTCATTTGAAATTTATTTTCATGAATTATGTATGTTTTTTCTTTGTAAAACTAAAAATGCAAGAATGTTCGGTATTTGATTAAATGACGAGGACAAAAAGCTAAATATTTTTTCTTTGAACTTATGAACAAAAAAAATTTAACAATAAAAAAAGAATTTGTGCTTTTAACGTTATGGTACACATTCAGTTTGTACATGTATGGTCAAGAAAATGTTAGGAAACATCGAAAAGGCAACAAAAATTTTTTTGTTTTAACTCTACGACATAAATGAGTTTCCTCAGCAATTTCCTTCCTTCTCGTATACTAGGTATGGTCAAGAAGTTATTGCCACTCAAATTAATTTATTCCATTTATAGTCACTTAAATTAGTTTAACAGTCCAAGTTTGGTCACTGGCCGTTATTCTCCGTTAACTTTTGCTGATGTGGCGGTCAACTCTTATAGTTGACCGTTACATGCATGACGTGGCAATTAAAAAATTTAAAAATTTAAAAATTTAAATTTCCACCTCAACTATTAAAAAATTATAAAAATAGGCGAGGATGAACCACCATTGCATTAGGGCTCTGAACCCTGCTGAACCTCTTCTGCTCCTTTCGGTACACACAGAAGACCAGCAATCCAATAAGAAACAGTATAAACACACCACCAAGGACGGAGAACACGATTACCCCTACACTAGAGGATGATTTATTTCCTCCATTTCGGGAACTTCCATCCGAATTCGGACTAGATGCTTGACCTCCCTCACTCTCACTCCCAATCCCGCTCTCTCCCTCTATCCCTAAACCCACGCCACCCCTACTTTGGTTATACTTGTACAAATTTGACCAGGTAGTGTCAAACTTTAATCTCGGAAATTTTAATTTCAATAGCTATACTGCTATAAGCCTATAACATACAACTAGGGGTGACAGTTCGGTTGTCGGTTAGCGGCTAACCTATAACCGCCATTTACTTGTAGCGGTCGGTTGTCGGAAGGCCTGAGGGGTGCTTCGGTTAGCCGACTAATCGGAAACCGGTTACGCGGCTAACCGAAGGTAACCGACCTTCGCGCTTGCTGCTCCAAAATGACCCCGCTTCCATTCCCAGAACCCCTCCCCCACACGCCCACACACACAAACGAAACCTAACCCCTTCCCCGAAAACCCTAATTCCCAAAACAAAAATCTCCCCTTCCTTTCTCCCCGCACTGCGCCGCCTCACCGGATCTCCCCGCGCCGCGTCGCGCCTCTTCGGATCTCCCCGCGTCGCGCCGCTTTCGACACCAGATTGTCGGCCATCCTCCCCGCCTCGGCTTCCTTCATCTCCGCCATCACTCGTCCGCCACCACCATTGTCGTCGAGAGCAGGAGAGACGCAAGAGCAAGGCGCCTTCTTCTCCTCCATCACAGGCGAGACTCGTCGCGTTTCGCCGCTCGTCCGCCACCACGAGTCACCACCATTGGTTTGGCCGCGCCTCCATTCTCTTGGCGAGTGCTGCTTCTTCCGGTTTAAAATGAAGAGAAGGAAGGAGAGAGGGAGGAGAGGCTCAATAGATCTAAAATGGAGAGAAGGGAAGAGAGTCTCAACAGATCTAAAATGGAGGAGAAGGAATGAGAAAGTGGGCAGGCGTCAATCTAGTTATCCTGCTCATAGCATATAGTGTGAGTATATACTCACAGGGTCGGATGGCCACCCACGTCGCCGAGCCGAGATCAGACGGTGGAGGAAGGTTGGCGCCAGCTTGTGAGGGGAGGAGAGCGAGTCCATCGGCTGGACAAAGCCCAGACACTCTAAGACAAAAAAGTGGGGTCCACTTGGTCCACAAATTCAAAAAACACAATTGATTTTATCTACTCAAATCCCTCCCTCCTCTCTTTGATATTTCTCTGTCCGTTCACTTTCACTCTCTTTCCAAAATTCAAAAACACTTTCTCTCCCCTTCCTCTCCCGAAAACACTTTCTCTCCCCTTCCTTTCCCAATACCGACGACGGCGACGATGACATTCAAGGCATCGGCGACTGTGGCTTTCACGGCAGCGGCGACAACGACTTTCAAGGCTGCAACGATGACGATTTTGACGGCACCACTGTGGTGAAGACGGATTCGACTACCGTAGCAGTCGCTAAACAAAGAAAAAGAAGGCGACTGACGCCGTTGAGGTAGACGTCTTCTCCTTCCCCTTCTCCTTCCGTTGGATTGCATATATTTGATCTTCGGTTTCATGGATTCGACTAGATCTGGGTTTTTCTTTTACTTCAATTTTTTTAATGGGTTTTTATGGATTTTTTCCTGATTTCATGGAAACCGCTGGATCTAGATTTTTTTCTTCGATTTTTTAATGGGGTTTTATGGATTTGTTTTCTAATTTCATGGAAACCACTGGATCTGGATTCTTTCTTTTGCTTCGTTATTTTGGATGAGTTTCTGGATTTGTTTTCTGTGGCATGGGATGCTAGGTTTTTTGTGGATTTGGGATATTAGTATAAACTCGACTGGATAGTTTTCTGTTGTATTTGGATGTCAATTCATTGATATTAGTTTGATGAGTAGTGATATTAGTTGTATACTTTCATGGATATTGTTTTGATGTATTTGGATATCACCTCATTGATATTAGTTGTCATCTTTAAGGATATCAGTTGTATGATAGACTGAGTTTTTGTTTGACGAATGTGGATATGACTTCATTGATATTACTTCTGAATGTTATGGATATAGTTAATGTGAAGTTCAGATATTAGTTAGCTTATGTCAGGATATTTTCTGTGCAGGAAAATCAAAATGACAAGAACTAAAGGAACTGCAAAGAGGTAGCGAGTAGAAGGCGAATCCTCAAGACCTAACCGTGGCAAACAGCCACAGGAAAATGAGTCAGAGGAATATGAGGACCAAGAAATTGAATAACATTTTTTTTAATAATGGATGGTTGTTCTTTATGTTCTGGATTGTAGTTCTTATGATGATGGATATTGTAATGAAAGCACAGGTTAAGTAGATAGTAGTCAGGGCTGTATGGATAATAGTAGCTTCATGCACATATATTACTCTGGGCTTTCTGGATAATAGTTGTTGAATGACAAGATACTAGTCTGGTATATAGAGATAATAGTTGCTACATGAGCATATAATACTTTGATATATCAGAATAATATTTCCTTCATTAATAGATATTGCTTTGGGCTTTCTGGATTGGAATGACATTAATACTAGTTGTATCGCGGTTTGTCGAAAAACGATTTTGTTTTATATGGATTTGTTTAAACTCAATATCAACACAAACAAACATAGATAAACATTCACACAAAACAAATATCTAAACCACTCACACTAATATCAGTTCAGCATAACAAATATCCACACCACCCAGACTAATATCACACCGTCTAATATCAATATCCAGTCAGTCCATAATTAATATCCTCAACATCATAGACTAATACCACTACATCAAACCAACTCTCACTCTAAACCCTAAAAAATATTCACACCATCCAAACTAATATCGCACCGTCTCAAACCAATATCCAGTCATTAAAAATGTAATATCTCGCCATCACAGTCAAATATCCACAATACACAGACTGATATCTGACCGTCGCAAACTAATATCTCACTACACAGACAAAATATCGAACCACCATACATTATCTTCTAAACCACCAACCCTAAACTCTAAACCCTAAGTAGGTAAACTGAATGTAGTTGTAATTAGTTGGGGGGTTTTGCAATTATTTTGGTGAAAAATAAACATTAGCTTTGTGATGTAAAAAATATAATCAGAAGGTCTAATAGGAACAACCATGCAGAATAATATCCAAATAAAGGAAACAAAAAATATAATCACGCAAAACTAATATTTTGTTACATAACGGGCAAAAACTAATATCCGTCCTCTATCGAACAAATACCCATTCACCCCAAAACAAATATATGTCCTTTATCGAGCAAATATCGGTGGCGCCCAGACTAACATCCATCCATTCCATATATAATATCCATTCTTGGGCGAACAAATATCATTGACACCCTGACTAATATCCAGCCACTTAAATTAATATCTGAAATCATAAACGAACTAATATCAGACCTACCATGACAAAAAAAAAACTTCATTTCCAGATGGTTTCCTCGGTGTTATCTTCATCCTCAGACAAACATCCATATCGTCCACACAAATACCCATTCACCCCAAAACAAATATACGTCCTTTATCGAACAAATATTCGTGACTCCCAGACTAACATCCATCCACACTAAAACTAATATCCACTTTTTAACGAACAAATATCCTTAACAACCTAACTAATATCCAATCACACAAAATAATATATGAAATCACAAACGAACTAATATAAAGGTCTGGAAGACACTCACACTCATACTACTATTGATTCATTGGCCTTCGGCCAATGGGCCCTCGGCGGGCAGCCCTAACTAAGGTTGCAAGCCTTATGTGTTAGGACTTGATAGTGTGTTTAGTTTTGATGGAAGACACAATTAAATACTCAAGATCTCTCCCATGTGAAAATTTATCAAAAGCAACAAAAGTAGCAGATGGTGGGCCATGCTTTTCTCTCTCTTTTGTCAACTCTGACGGATATTAGTTCGTGCACTTTTGGATATTTATTTGTCTCGGTTGGATACGAGTTATTTCAGCGGCTCCCTCTCTCAATCCCGCCCAAATTAAAGGTGGACCCAAGCCACCTTTTTCAGCTCGATCGGCTGGGCCGGCTTGTGCAAAAAAACCTACAAATAGCTCACTTAAATGAGCTATGGCTGGGCTGACCTCCTCACCCTTAGATTAGAACTGGGCCTATGTGGACAAATCTGGGCCTTGTGAGTATCTACTCACAAAAAACCTTGTGAGCAGATTAACTTTTGCGGCAGGCGTAGACTAGACGCATAGTGGCTCTAAAAAAAAAATTAATCGTCAATATGGAGAGAAGGGTAGGTTTTTCGGTTGGTCGGCTAATCGTGACTCCCTCACAATCGGTGGTCGGTAGCCATAGGGATGGCTCGGTTTAATCGATAACCGACCGACTGACACCGCTACATACAACCTAATTCCCTCACTTTCATCCTTCTTCGCCTCTCTAAGTTACTCCACTTTAGCCAATCTTTCTTGCCCTTGAGGTCAAAAGGAGTTCAAACAAGGATTGTCAAACAATTTGGATTGAGGGATTCAAAGATGTTTCTATCTTAACTAACCATTACTTAGAACCATTTTACAGTAAATAGTTCAAGGATTGAAAATTTTGTCTAATCCAAACAGAAGAACACTGAGAAGGCTCTTAACTTTATATACTACACATTACTGTCAAGAATCAAGATATAAAGAAAGGGTTCTGTTAGAAACTGAGGTTAGTGCTAATCACGGCAATTTTCATAGGCCAGATTACTATAAGATATGGCAGTATGATCAGTACTCTGGCTGGAACAACGTATAGGTTGAGCTTGCTTCAGACTTTGTAACCTGCACAAAAATGTGTCAACAATGATCAGTATATACTGCCCCCACTCGAAACTTCGTATTGATTTGTCGAAAAAGGTCTGAATCCTGCTTGGGATAGAATCAAGATCTATAGGATAAACAGAGAATCTAAAAGTCCTTGCATACTGACCTCAGGGTTTCTGGACATTCCAGAAGGAAGAACAGGAACCAGGGATGTCCAAAGTAGAGGGTCTGCCAAAGGGTCATCGCTGCCATTGTAGTTGTTCACAAGTTGACCAGACAGGAATGAAGTTAACGGGTACATGTTCCTGTGGAGAGACAATGCTTCTGGACTCACTCCTAATCCAGCTCCAACTCTATTAACGCTGCTACTATTGCCATGACTCATAGTCGACTTGTCATCAACAGCAGATTTGTCATAATCCATCTTGTTGATCGTCCTCTTGTTTTCATTTTCGTCGTTATTTTCCGTCCTTTTGGATGCCTTGTCTTGCAAGTGTTTGTAAGCAGCAGACTGTGAGAGAATGCTCAAGGCCGAAACTTTATGCTTCTTTGGTTCAGAAGAAAACCCTAGCTGGGGCATCTGGAATGGTTGAGTAGGCCGTACTGCCCACTCCAAGGTTCTGAGTTCTCGGGCAACATCGTCTGAAGAGCTATGCATTGGGTCCTCGGATGATCTGGAGATGGAGTCTACTTGACGGATTCTACTGGGAGCCCACCATTTGATGTAAGATGTTAGATCGATCTTTCTATCCATGCAAAAACCGCCAATGTATTCATTCTCAACATTATCACCTGCACCATTATATTAGATATCAGCATTAACATTTGGGGGTTGACAATCACTTGAGGATAAAAATTACTATTAAAGTATGTTTTCATTTCAATCTCAAACTGCAACGTGAGACGAAATAAAAAGAGAAAGAAACTGTGATTAAGTTTTAGAGATCTAATGATACCGTAGTTCACATTACTGAAGTGGCCAGGTCCGGTCATACGACCAATCGACAAGTCCCATTGATTACTTCATGATCCCCAGAGGAAAAGAGAAAGAAACAGAAGGTGGCCAATAAGTCTCCACTCTATAGAGTATGAAATTAGCTACCCGTGTACTCTTCAAAACAAATACTGAAAACTACTATTCAATAAACCTAGTCATGGCATCCACTAGAGCTGTATCAACTAGTCATTCTTGTCAATATGCTTACAACTATCAATTAATCTTCTGGGAATCCGACAATCATGCAAATGAAGTAAACAAAGAAAAATTACCTGGAAAGCCCACGATATTTGGAGATACCTCTTGAAAACCCACTACTCTTTCTGCAGCAAACATTTTCTCACAAATAAGCACAATGGATGCGAAACAGGAAGAGCTTTTGAAGGCAGAAATACCTTCGAAGAGAGGCTAGGTATTCCTCCCGGGAGACATTCTGCATTTCATCAAGATCTCTCGTATAATCTGAAACCTGAGGAGTGCAAAGAAGAAAAAGAATGGGGCATGCAACAGACAGAAAGAAGATCAATACGCATAAAGACACAAATAGATAACACAATTGAATTGGAAGATGAGACTCCAGATAAAAGCATCAAATTTGGAAACTTTCTCACTGGAAAATTGATGAGTGTGCCAGGACCCCAATATTTCAAGGCAGCAAGGTCATATGCTCTAGCTGCAGCCTCCTCGTCGTCATATGCCCCTGTAAGTAAATCATTACCCTCAAGTATAATTTGTAATGCTAAAATGAAATTCCAAGAAGGACAATAGAAAGTTCGCTCACCTAAGTATACTGGGCACATCGAGTGGCAAACACAGTTCCAGGCAGAAAAGGAAGATCTAATCAGTTTAATCCTTATAGCTGCACATGTCTTAACAAATATGAAAGCAAGCCAATTGAACAAAGGGTGCTATGGAACTCTAACCTTGTTTTCCCTTCTTATTCTGGTTTTGATTCCATGTAGTTTTATCCCAAAGATGAGCTTCATAGCGACCTGTCCATCTATGCCTGATATTTAAATTGGAAAAGATGAAACCTTGAAGGTATTAAAGCAGAGTTTGAAGGAGCTGAAAATCGAGATCAATGGTATCACTATCCATTCACTCAGCACAATCCACCATTTAATCTTTGAAGCTATGGAAATTGACAAACATAACATCTGCCTAGATATTATGAATTCACGACGACACGACGAGGACTGAGAACAGATTAAGCTAGAGGTAAGCCCCATCACATTACGGCTCCGGTTGTTGCATTATCTATTGCCTCCGAGGCATATCATCAAACACGTAACACGCATACAAAATCAGCAAGTAGCTTTCAATCAAACCCGCCATTCAAAATCCAGCGCCAACAAGCAAGCTACAGAAATGGAGTTTATATAAGTTCCCACACAAACCGTACCTGGTAACTCCACGGTAAATGGAACTGCGTTTCCCAGCAGTACAAGGAGGCATCTTGCTGATTCGTTCTTTCGCAGTACATCCCCTGTCCTTCTTCGCTTTCTTCAACCCTCTGTACAGCAACATCTGATCGTTAGTAACCAAGGCCGCTTCTGAAATCTCTCCCCCGCCGCTGCTGCTCCCGGCTCCTCCTAACCCAGGCTTCATCCCCGGGTCTGACGAAGATGAATTCATGATCCACAAAATCCTTCACTATTGTTCCCACCTAAGCAATCAGTCTCCCAACTTAGTCCATCCCAAATACCTGAAACTCAAGAAATGACACGTTCGTATGAATTGGCCAATCTCCTCCACCCCTCTCAACCTCTTACCTAATCAATCAGAGACGAGTGCCGCCGGCGAGCCGTTGAGCATGCGCCGGTAACAGAACGTGACGTTTCGGAAGATCCAAGCTACAGCTACAGGAGTTCGGAATCGGCAAGCCGAGAGAAGGTGATAGAGAAGTAGAAACTGTGAGAAGTGAGCTCGCTTGGTGAAACCGAGTGTGGAGTGATCGGAAATGAAAGAAGCAGAGAGTGAGAGTGAGAGTGAGAGTGAGAGTGAGAGTAAAGGGTTTTATGAATTTCCGCCAACTGATTTCCATTTTTCACCAGCTTCAAAAGAGCTGACGTGGCGGTCGAACTTCAACGGCAACTTGGATAGTTGGGTTTGCTTTAATTTTCTTACCGGCCAAAGACGCAAAACGCTAACAAAAATACGCAAAACGGCAAATTTGACCGAATCTTGGAGAAAAAGTAACTATTTCGTGAATGCATTCAATTAGACAATTAGTCTTTATTAGTGTTGTTAGAGTTGAAAAACCAAGATAACCAATTTAATCACTGGTTTAAATTTGGTTTAGTTGGGTTGGTGTGGTTCAAAACTCTAATGATCCGTTAAACTAATTAATCGATGTATATTATATTGTCTTGCTTGATATAATATGGACAAGGTATGCTCGCTTCTAAACTTAACTGATCAATTTGTTGATATTTATGTGGTCGATCAAATCTAATTCCACAAACAAAATCAAGATCGAATAAGATAGCTTCCAATAACTTTTTGAGTGTGTCCTAATATTAGCAGGGGTAGAGTCAGGATTCGAGACGCACGGAGCTTGAGTTATTTAGCGTGCGATAAAAAGTCATAATAATATTAAAAAAAATTAGTATTATTATTATAGCATTATAAGAAATTTTTTAAGAACGAAAATCCCTATATATGGGAAGTTCTACCGTACCCTGGGTGAAATCCAGGGTACCGCATACCTTGAGTAAGAAAACGTTATCCAGAACTTGAAGTGACTGATCTTTCGGACATGATACTATACTCTAACCCTTAAAGATCAAAATCTAGGTCTTAATTCTCTAAATCTTATACCCCAAGATCAATTTAATTAGAAATAATAATCCACGGTTATGATTCGTCCAAATATAGGCAAAAAAAATGAAGGCACCATCTTAGAGTATATAGTTTATGATTTAGATAATTAGGACCTAGGGTTCACTCATTAAGTCTTAGGGTATAGTATAATGCCCAAAAAATCCTGCTAATTCGAGGTCTAGATGGCCTTTTCATACTCAATGTATACGGTACCCCGGATTTCACCCGGGGTACGGTAGAAGGCACCCTATATACTATAAATCACTACTATGATATGGTGAAAACAAATATACTTTGGTGTAAGGACATTTTATGAAGACGAAAAATGCAATAAGCATGGATCTAACACGCGACCTTCAGATCTTCAACTTGATGCCCTCCCAATTAAGCTATCCCCACCAATAATTTCTCTATTTTTGCGAATATTACATAACAAGGTGAAAATTGCAATGAGCATGGATCTAACACGTGACCTTGATGCTCTCCCAATTGAGCTTTTCTAGCCAATAATCTCTCTAATTGAGCTTTTCTAGCCAATAATCTCTCTATTTTTGCAAGTATTACATAACAACATAATAGTCCATTAATAATACGAAGAAAAAAAAATGCGGTGAGCGTGGATCGAACACGCGACCTTCAGATCTTCAGTCTGACGCTCTCCCAACTGAGCTATCCCCGCGAATGAGTTAAGTTAGTCTCCGAATATAACATACTCATATAACACTATCATGATATGAAAACAAAAAATGCGGTGAGCGTGGATCGAACAAGCTCCACATTAATAATACGAAGAAAAAAAAATGCGGTGAGCGTGGATCGAACACGCGACCTTCAGATCTTCAGTCGGACGCTCTCCCAACTGAGCTATCCCCGCAAATGAGTTAAGTTAGTCTCCGAATACAACATACCCATATAACACTATCATGATATGAAAACAAAAAATGCGGTGAGCGTGGATCGAACACGCGACCTTCAGATCTTCAGTCTGACGCTCTCCCAACTGAGCTATCCCCGCGAATGAGTTTAATTTGTCTCCGAATACTATATAGCAAAGTAACAAATTCATGATATGAAAACAAAAATGCAACAGGTTTGGATCGTACACGCGACCTTCAGCCTGACACAATAATATTACGAAGAAAAAAAATGCGGTGAGCGTGGATCGAACACGCGACCTTCAATCTGACGCTCTCCCAACTGACGCGACCTTCAGATCTTCAATTTGACACTCTCCTTATTAAGCTAATCAAACACACGACATTTAGATCTTCGGCCTGAGCTATTACCGCTAATGAGTATACTGTTGGTAGGGGAGCTTTGTGGCAAAAACTTGCAGAAAACGGGTTCCCACTGCCACTCTGCATTATGGTACCGAATAATATTTAATTATGACAAACTTCCTGGAGGGAAACCAATAAAAATACAAACAATGGACGAGCTCCACATAGAATGGGAATAATTCTAATACAAGAACAATTTTAAACTAAAAAGAACACTCTTAAACCGACTATGCCAGCAACTAGCTCATGCCGCATTTATGAACAAGCAAATGCTCCAGCAATAACAGAGTGCCTGATCCAATCATCTGTAGGGCTATAACAACGTAGGATACTTGGCGTCGAGGAAATCTCTGAGAGTGCGAGCTGCTTTTTGGCCACCCATTAGCTCAGCTAACTTCTCCGCAGGAAGAAGAGCCAGTTCTGCTAAGCTTTTACAACCGTCCATGATTGACCGATAATTCGAGTCGTTCACTCCAGGAAGACGCCTCAGAAACTCAACCGCCGATGTGTTGTAGTTCTCAGCTCTGCCAGCCACAGTACAGGAAGCTCAAATAAGATTGAACGAAGTATTATGGCAAAGTGCAGAGCAGGAGATAAGCTAATACGCTAAGCTGCTAGGGTATATTACATAATAGATTCCCATTTCCTTGAAACAACAATAAGATGTTCTGCAACGGCATATGATGCAAGTGAAATCGTAGAGAGTAAATTAGTAAAACCGCAAGCAAGCATACCTCACATCGCTTTCCACAATACCCTCCTCTGAAGGGACCCCAACTCTAACTGCCTTGTCCAGCCCCGGCTCATCCTGATTTGCCTTCAGGGTAGCAAATATTTCTGCAGTAGCATGTAAGCTACGAGACCATATTATTCGTAACCGGGGGAAATGCAAAGCGAGCAATGACAGCTTGGAGATCACACTGTTGGGTGTTACATCATCTCCAATATCAGTTACAGACTGCAGGTTGATCCCAAATAAATTTGCATTGTAAGAAATTGGAAGGCGCTCTGTACTTCATTCCAGATTTTATCTATATATAAGTGAGTTTAGTCTCGTTCATCATGCTTACCTGAAAAGAGAAGCTCTTGTCCTGTGAAAACTCGATGAGAAGAACGGGTATTCTGTAATACCGTACCATCATATCCACTTGGTTGTAGAGGCGGCCAGATGTGAAACTCATGAAAAGATCAGAGATGCTTTTCCTTTCCACACAGATTTGTGGGGATAGAATGTAGTCTCCGACTTCCAAGGTAACCGGTATTATTCGCATTCCTTTCTGGTGAAGAACATTTGGAAGGCTGCTCATGAACTCCCTCATGTCCACTATGACCTGCAGCAGGTGTAATAAATAAGTTTGGCAATTGTAGCTCACAAAAGTTTGGAATATACAGGGCAATAGGAGAAAATGTGATGTTAAACACCTGCATTTCTTTATCGGCAACTTTCCTTCCACCAGCCTTTCTAGTTATAGAGTTCTGAGAACTCGAAGCCTCTAGCTCAGTTGAAGAATTCGGACCCAGACAACTTCCATTCTGTTCCCAGTTCAAAGATAACAGAAACTGCATTGATCAGCAGAAAGCTCCCTATAGATGTACAAATCTAGAGCAGCCTTGTACCCTTAGCATGGAAGTATATTTAGAAAAGATACCTGATCAACAGGAATCATCATCATGGATTTCTGCCTGATCAGAGATTCAAAAGCTCCATTCTCTTTGCGTATACTGGCCTCAAACTTCTGTACCTCAGTTGAAGCTTCATAGAAAAGAAAATAAACCTTCACCCTTTTCGATGGATTTTCAGCTTGGAATACTTCAATCTCCCGAACGAATGTCATATCCGGATGATAAACAATAATTACAGAAGGCTTCAGCATGTCAAGTATAGGCTCATTCCTTTCTAGAGCATAGAAATACAAAGGTGGAATTTTCTTGGCCCCTCCTTCTAATCCTTCAGGGTCATCATGGTCCCCATTATGCTTCCGAAGAGCTCCTGGCATAGGAGCTCCCCTTAACTTACCTGGTTGATGGAATCCTGTAAGTTCACTATTAGTTTTGTCTACTATCAAAGTTTCAGGCTCGTTGATTTTACTGCCTGATGTCTGACCATTTGCTGGGGCCTTTTTCTTCGGTCCTTTTCCCTTCCTTTTCCGATCATTTTCAACCTGAGGTGGTATCTCGTCTGTAATATGCGCTTTACTTCTTATCTGTAATGCTGCTGCCAACAGAGCCTCATGCTCCTGCTTGTTTATGCTGCTTGCTGATTCTGCACTCTGGGCGGGTTTTACAGGGACTACTCCATCAAGAAGTCCAATTCCTCTCGGTTCCTTCTGTTTTGGTTTCTTTTTCTGTGGTGTTTGGAAGCCACGCAGGTCCATTTTGCTCAGCAAATAATTTTGCCACTCTTCTCGCAATACCTTCAATGCAACATGAAAAATAGAGAAGGGTCAGAATATAACAGCTCGATAGAAACCACTGGCAGCAATTTACAGCAAATAAAATCAGTTCAAAGTAAGTAAGAAACCTTTAGAGACCCATTTGTTATGCAATCTTCGACCTGCATACATGAGCGTTCATCTTTGCAGGCGACTAGAACTATGCCACTATCCAATTTATTACTTTCAACAGCATCTTCAGCCAATGGTTGCTTTGTTCTTCCTTCCTCTATCTCTTCAAGTATCTCCTGTTGCAAAAAGTATCAAATCCCAAATCTTCAGGCACAAAAGTGTAAACATCTATCTGATGATTCATACTGCAGACACTGATGATTCAACAAAGTTCAGAAACAAAGGATACATAAAAACGCCTAGAAATGGAACTCACTCACACGTAACACCTTCCACTTTGGTGCTTCCTCCAAAACTTCCTCCAGTACAACTCCTCCACTTAAAGACGAAGTACCATTTGCCACTGCCGATAAAGATAAAGATAAAGAACAGTCAACAACCTCAATAGATATATAAAAAGCTATGTCAAGTCCAAACATAGAATATAATCTCTTAATCACTTGCCTTCTTCTTTACTATGTCCATCCATCCTCAGTTTCCTCCGTTTGGCAGTTGAGGTATTAGTCTGCTCCTTCAAATTAATGTGGTTCGATATTGCCAGCCGGTAGACTCGCTTCTTTGCATAATCAAATATCTTATAGCTCGACTCTGCAAATATCCAGACAGAGCGAAAACTCTCGGACACCCTAAGCGTATCCAAATACTTCAAATAACTAACCGCATCATACCTAACCATAGTCACACATCCAAAAACAGCCCAAGAAAACCAGCATTAAGCCAACAGTTCCACCACAAAATAACTTCAATGAAATTTGTCAAAAAAAAAAAAAACATAAATTCAATGGTTAAAGCAATTCCTTCACTTTCTTCCCACAAATCGATCGCCTTTACCAAGTTCAATCCTCGTCCTAAGACATTCAAAACTCATACCTATACAGAGAAAAGTAACAATGGAATTACCTAACAAGATAATCGAGCAACTTCCTCAAGGTCTTCAAATCAGAAACAAGCTGCTTAGTCTTCTTCCCCAGAGTATGCCAAATGGGATCAAGCTGCCTCCTCACAATCTCATCAAACGACTTGAACAGCCCATTCTCCACAGTCAAATCCTCCACATCCACCTTATTCGTCTTCCTCATCTCCTTCAAACAAGCATCCATGACTTCAACAATCGCCTTCTGTATCCCAACCATATACTTACTCATCGGAACCCTAACATCCACCACCTCAGGCGGATTCCTCTCCAGCTCCTCAGAAACATACACCTGAAATCTCGGCCACAAGTGAAGCTTCCGTATGTAGAGCGCCTTCATGATCCTCTCCGTCTTCGCGAACCCGGCCACCATCGCATGCGGCCTGTCGGTGAACGCGCGAACGTACACCGACCGGCTC